CTCTGATATTATTATTCATGGCTTTAGTAAAACATTGTTCATTATTACTCACATTTAGGAAGTATAACCTTTATTACTTCCATTGGAATATTATCTCAGATACTGCAGCTTAGTGCCTTCATTTAGGATAAAATGTAAAATATTACAGGGCCAATTCGTTACTCTTCGAACATATATGTGTCTTCTTACTCTCATTCCACAGACTGCCATGTGCTTTACCGCTGGCAAAATCCTTTATAATCAACACTATGGAAAGCTGGGCGAGAGTTAAGCTAATTATAATATCTTCAGAATCTCATAACAAGATTTGGAAACCAACTGCCATGCGAAGATTGTTTTTATTCACTCTCTCAAAATCAGAAAATTATGATCAATTTGTACAGTGCTATATGCCAAAGCCATGTGGAGCTTTATAAACCTTGGTCAACAAGAAGTTCTCTTTTTAGTTTATCTTTGATAATGAATGATTTTAATTTCATTAAACATTGTGTGCTGCAAGGACTATCTGTGGGCTGGAATATTAAATTGAGCATATTCAGCTAGTAGATTTTATTATTTAAGCTGGATTTTTCATTTAGAGTACTGGGACTCAAGGCAAGTATCAAGATAATTTTTTAATCCAATCTCCTCACAAAAAAAGCAAATTAATAAAATTTTGCCCCGATTATCTGATTATTTCTTAATTCTCCATTTCACCTCTAAGGACTGGATTTGTGTAGTGAAGTAAAATATTGTATTCTAATCATTTTATTGTTTTGTCTTCTCTCCCTATAAAAAGATGATAGTTGTGAGAATGGAAATTATGTCTCTTCTTTTATTTTTAACTTATTTTCCCTAATTGCTAACAGAGTAGTTAGCACATATTAGGCCTGCATAAATATTTAACAATTGAATGAAGTCAGAGTCTAGCCTGAGAAAAAGGAACTTCTTAAAGAATTACCTCTTTTGGGGCGCCTGGGTGGCTCAGTCATTTAGCGTCTGCCTTCGGCTCAGGTCATGATCCCAGGGTCCTGGGATCGAGGCCCGCATCGGGCTCCCTGCTCAGCGGGAAGCCTGCTTCTCCCTCTCCCACTCCCCCTGCTTGTGTTCCCTCTCTCGCTGTGTCTCTCTCTGTCAAATAAATAAATAAAATCTTAAAAAAAAAGGAATTACCTTTTTTCCATTCTTATCTCTATTATCTTGTAAATTATCTAAGTATTTCTAATAACAAAACCACAATGCCACACTTCAATCACATAGAAAGCTTATATTTCAGTTCTTTTTCTATCAGCAGAACTTCTAGAGGCACACAGTTGAGAAGAAATAAGTTAAATAATTATTGATTTGTTATTGATGATTCTCCCATCAAATCAATGTGATCACTGTGCTTATTAAATACAGTTCTATATTTTATAGCATGAAGGAAAACCTAACATGTGCAAATTACATTTATTGAGCACTTACTATGTGGTAGAAGTAATATGTGCTTAGCTTACATTATTCTAATTTAACCCTCTCAGCAAACTGATGGCATACATATTACTATTCACATTTGGCGGGATAGAATATTGAGATTTAGAGTTAAGGATCTTGCCCGATATCAGGCAGCTAATAAATAATAGAGCTGTGATTTGTCTTTAGATTGACTTCACCATCCATTCTCTGCCCACTGCACCACACAGCCAAATACTAAAGTGATTGTATGTCAGAGGGCTATCACACTTGTCTCTGAAGCCATCATTGATTTCATTCAACAGTTATTCATGTCATGAATCTAACATATTTTTGAAAATAAATCTTATTTTAAGTGTAAGGAACTCAAGTAAGAAACCTATTTGGGTTTTTTTTTTGTTATGTTAATCACCATACATTATTACATCATTAGTTTTTGGTGTAGTGTTCCATGATTCATTGTTTGCGTATAACACCCAGTCCATGCAGAATGTGCCCACTTTAATACCCATCACCAGGCTAACACATCCCCCCACCCCCCTCCCCTCTAGAACCCTCAGTTTGTTTCTCAGAGTCCATGGTCTCTCATGGTTAGTCTCCCCCTCCGATTTCCCCCCCTTCATTTTTCCCTTCCTACTATCTTCTTCTTTTTTTTAACATATAATGTATTATTCGTTTCAGAGGCACAGGTCTGTGATTCATCAGTCTTACACAATTCACAGCGCTCACCATAGCGCATACCCTCCCCAATATCAGGCAATGCAGACACGAATTGTTTTCCTTCCTCTCATTCCTGAGAAAACAATTCGTGTCTGCATTGCCTGATATACAGAATGTCAGTTTTACATAGTATTTATGAACCTGCTCAAATCTGTTGAACTTAGCTACTTTTTAAATTTGGAAAGCTTCTTCCTTCAATACATTTTTGGGCTTGCTTGTTTGTTCATTAATACAAATGTCATAGAGCTTAAGTTATGACACAAAAATGATTCCATTAGATTGTAACCTCAGTGCACACACATACACCCACACACTTGCCCACAGTCTCTTTATTAATTCACACTGATTTTGAGCTCATATCTAAGCTTGTGAATAGTACATAGGAAATTTTCACATAATTTCTGAAATCTTTGGAAACCATCCCTGTTATCTAACTAGTAAAAACTTCCTTGATATGATTTTAAGAGTATTATGGATTTTTTTAAATATGTTCTTGATCTATCTTATGAAATAAAGAGGTCAGGCTAATTGGAAACAAAGAATGACTGTATTAAATAATGCATTTAATACCAAAACATGCAAATATCAATCAACATGTCAATCTCCCTTGTACAGTTACATGACTTTTCATATTAGCATTTGATTGAGTCCACCAAGGGGAAAATATGACTTAAATATAAAATGAGCTTCTGAATCAGGCTCACTATAAAAAAAATACTAAAGAGAATTTTATTTTCAAGATTCCACTGGAAATAAAAAACCATGTTGTTTCTCTGGGTAGCATTAGTTAAGGAAGGAAGGAAGAAAGAAGGAGGGATGGAGGGAGGGAAAGAAGGAAGGAAAGAAAGAAAAGGAAGGAAGGAAGGAGGGAAGGAAAGAAAAGGAAGGGAGAGAAGGGAAGGGAGGGAAGGGAAGGGATGGGATGGGAAGAAAGGGAGAAGGAAAGAAAGAAAGAAAAAGAAAGAAAGAGAAAGAAAAAGAAAGGAAGGAAGAAAGAAAGAAGAAAGAGAGAGAGAGAGAAAGAAAGAAAAAGAAAGAAAGGAAGGAAGAAAGAAAGAAAGAAGAAAGAAAAAGAAAGAAAGAAGAAAGAAAGAAAGAAAGAAAGAGAAAAAGAAAGGAAGGAAGAAAGAAGAAAGAGAGAGAAAGAAAGAAAGAAAGAAAGAGAAAGGAAGAAAGAAAGAAGAAAGAGAGAGAGAGAAAGAGAAAGGAAGAAAGAAAGAAAAAGAAGAAAGGAAGGAAGGAAGAAGAAAGAGAGAGAAAGAAAGAAAGAAAGAAAAAGAAAGGAAGAAAGAAAGAAGAAAGAGAGAGAAAAGAAAGAAAGAGAAAGGAAGAAAGAAAGAAAAAGAAAGGAAGGAAGAGAAAGAAAGAGAAAGAAAGAGAAAGGAAGGAAGAAAGAGAGAGAGAGAAAGAAAGAAAGAGAAAAAGAAAGGAAGAAAGAAAGAAGAAAGAGAGAGAGAGAAAAGAAAGAAAGAGAAAGGAAGAAAGAAAGAAAAAGAA